TGCCACTGTGTGTCAGTACTCATTCTTCCCATGTAATCATTCTTCCACTAATATACTGTAAGGGGTCATAGATCAGGAACTTTGGAGTTCATACTGACTCTGTGAACATGTTTGGGGTCCACCAGATCCATTGAATTCCATTACATTTACAAAGTTTACACTACAGTCCCCCCCAATGTTTATGAGGATGTTTGAATGTTAAGGTACTGCTGTATACTATAGTTGTACTGTATGTATGGCATCTGACAACCTGAACCAGCCAAGCACAATACAGGCCTTGTCAGCTGGTTTATTTGGGCCTGTGAAATAAAGAGACTTAATGGGAGGTTAATAGGAGAGTCTCCAGGGCATTGTGAGAGTTTCTGACAGTGAAATTGTCTTAATTACAGCACAGACACAGACCTCACTCTGCCCAGTAATCTCAGAAGGACAGAGGTCTGACCTGACAGGCTAATAGGCCTAAATTCACTTAATGCAGCCTGTAGCCTAGGAAAAAAAGTAAATCTTTCTCTGAGACAAAAAAGACATGTCCCAGCAACACTCCTGCTTTTTGATAGGTGGTTGGTTTAATCACAAAGGCAGCCATTGGACTGAGAAGGCTGTCAGTTGTCAGAAACCTTAATCTCTGCACAAACAGTTCCACTGTGGTCAGGATTGGCTGACACTCACCTCACAATGCAGGGCACAGCCTTTCCTTTTTTTGTAAAGTGCCGCTTATTTCCCTGAGGATTCTGAGCAATTACAGCCGTCAACGGGGAGCAGGCAAATTCTGTGGTCTTGCAAGCCAAGTTTCAAAATCAAGCTCATTAAAGCTCCTTGCTTAGGATCATCAGGAAACAAATAGGGTGATTAATCAAGCTCAATTAGTTCAGCCCACAACAACCACTACAGTAAGTAAGAGCAATAAAGTCTGCACAGTATTGGAATCTGTTCCTCCAGGTGTGTCTCAGGACCTTAATAATCACCTAGTCTTACAGTTGTGGATGGGTCGATTTACTGAAGTTGTGTGGGTCTTTTAAAAGTTGTCCATCCTCAAGGCAGGCAGCAGGAAGGTCTGATGCAGGTTTTCTTAACTGCAGTCCTGCCACAGCTCCCCATGTCTCTTCCCGGCAGTGGTTCACCTTGATTTCTTATCAAAGCAGCACCTGATTTATTTTAACACTGACACTGCGTCATACAGTGTGCCAAGCCATTACATGTCCTGGAGTTTAAATAAAATGGAGAGGACATCTGCGTGTGTGATAGCCAATGTAGGGAAGTATGGATTTCAAATCAAAAAGAGGGCTTGCCGTATAAAATTCTGGATCACAGCCTTGTAAGCAGTACATCTTTTAATCAGCAGCTCTGCTTGCGTTCAGATGATCCTGGGGTCGCCTTTAGACAGAACTAAATAAGTCTTTGCATCTATGCATGTGCTCTTATATGTGTTAGGCTGATTTCCATGTGTATTTCAAATTTCTTTATCCAAATACAGAGGCAAGACATGAAGGCATAAAATACTCACAGACTTCTGAGCAAAGCTCATGCCAGAGAGTTGCAATACAAGGCTTGGGGTCGAGTCTGAATAGCGTGCTGGCAGGGCGTCAGGCGTAATCGGATACAAAAGACTTAATGCAAACCTCCCTCTTCACTTGGCTGAAGATCAGCCTTTGAACTGGTTCCAGTTTGGTTGAGATTATGTGCTGTTTATATCAAGGGCTCTGGTCTCGGAGACCCCTGGATGGAGTACAAAAATGTATGTGTTGAACATGGAAACGTGGATGATCCTGGGGCTTAGCAGATTGATTAAGGTCAAGCGATCTCAAACAAGATACAGTATGTAGTGCTGGCTTTGCTCCCCATATGAGGTGCGCAGCCTGGCAAGGTTAGGGGAAATGCAGCAGCAGGTCAATGGCTTCTGCTCTGCATCTACAGCTGTGATACATTAAGTGCAGTGGTATTTTCTTATTAAAATAAACTCATCATGCACCAGAACGTCCTTGTGCAATTAGAATTCGGAGGCGTACATTTCCACTGAGGAAATTAAGCTTTGGCACGTGTATTGGAATTTCAGAGACACTTTTTATGACTGCAGGAAAGAGAAAAACAGCAATAACTGCTCGTTCTCTGTAAGCATGCTAAGGAGAAAGTCTGCTACAATGTTGTAGTTAGCTGCTTATTTACATTTCATAGCTATTGGAACTAGAGTAAAACACTGTAGAATATCTACAGTAAGTGGTAATGACGAAAATAACACTTAACTGTACAGTATATCCATGTAGGCTTGTATGAGCTTATCTGATTGTCATGAAACACGTGAGATTTAGTCAGATTGTCTGAAATGTCTTTCATTGCTTCATTTGAGTCTCAGAAGCTGTTAAAGAAGCTTGTGTATCAACATGAAAAAGAATCTTAAATCACAGGAGAATCTAAGCCATTGTTGGTCTTGTGCTGAAACTGTGCAATACAAAGTAAATGCTCATCTGTTTGTGCAGTACAGTATATGTAGGCTCAGAGGCCTGTTAAACAGGTGGGACAGAATAGCAGCTGTTGAATGGTTTTGAGACTGTGGAGGAAACTAAGAGACTAGTCAGTGGCACACTTGTGGGAGGAAATACAGTATTTAAATTTGTGTTTCATCATTATCCTTTGGCCTTCTGGAATATGGCTGAACTAAATCAAGGAGGGCTAAATATGGAATCATGCAGGTCGCAGGTCAGCAGTAAACTGGGATTGTGTTCTTTATACTATGTGTTTTATATACAGCTACTGTGAATTTCCAAACATCTCATATCAAGACTCCTAGCTATCTCCTTTTACTCTCAATATGCAGAGACTAGATCAGTTAGGAACTTCACCTCTGTTTTAAAAACAAAAGAGCTCGTTTTGACATTTGTCTGCTTTACTACATTAAAAATCTGCAATAAAAATGTTTTGATCTTAACATAAAAAAGAAACTAAATATGAAAGCCTTTTAGCTGAATTGCTTTTGCAGACTGAGATGTTTTGCAGCTGCACTAGGGAAAAAGACGAATTAAGATCAATTGGGTTCAATTCTTATTAGCAAGACTGTGTGAAACAGACATGTAAAGTAAACAGTCTCTCTGGACTTGAAAGTAGTTGAAAGTGTCTTTTTATGTTCCTTATTTTCCAGCAGGGAATAGTATGGTGTGTGTATGTATATTTTTTCTGTTCTCTTCTTTATTTGAGTATGTGAATTGTCTGATTGTATGATTTTTGTGCTTGCTTCTAATGTAGTCTTTTGTGTCCTTCGACTACTACAAGTCCTGGTAACTGGTGGGACCTTACGAATCTCACTGCAATTGTTTTATCTTTTTAGTTTTGCTTCATTATTGAATCTGAATCAAATTCTTTATAGTCTAACACTGTGCCACAAGGCTCCTCCCAGTCAATACTAAAGTCAAATTTCTTTGGAAAATCTCCCAGAAGAATTGGCAAGGGTCAACTTTACATTGCACAGTCAGGAAAAACATTTAAGTGGTGTTTTTGTAAAACCCTAGTTTGTCTTTTACGTATGCATTCATTTATTTGTATTTAGGATAGATAGACCCAATCTAACATGCCAAACACTTTCTGAATAGGAAAGTCTATTTATTTTCTGATAAGAAGATGTAAACTGGAGAGCTTCCATCTATGTTAGCGAAAAACACAAAACAAATGGGTAAGATGTTGTATTGACATTTTCAGTGTCCTTGGATAGTCAGAGACATTTGAAAAAATGCAAGATCCATCCAGCTGTTTTAAGCAGAGGTTAGAGGGAGTGTATGTTAGAGAAAGAAAATGAACAGACAAATTAGAAATACCAACCATGTGTTCTCATTCGAGAGGTTAAAATTCATAAATGAAATTATACATAAACTGAGGAAAATGGGGGAAAAAACTAACAGATAGAAAAAGGTGGCTTTTTACACTTCTGGGAAACATAAGACATCTTTTAGCTCCTTGTCTACAAAACAGACAATAAGGCAATAACACCGCAGGACACCTCATGTCACGTGATTTACCAAACCGCTTTATACCATGTGGTGTTGCGGGAAGCTGGGGCCTACCTGACAAGCAACGAGCGCAAGGCAGAGTACACCCTGGACAGGGTGCCAGTCCATCGCAGGGCAAGTGCAAGCCAATCATACCTGGGGACAGTTTGGAGGCCTTGGTAAAGGCAGAGGGGGGAAATTTGGCCCAGACACCAGGATCTGCCTGGGGATCTTTAATGACCGCTGAGAGTCAGGACCTCGGTTTAACATCTCATCTGAAAGACGGCACCTGCTACAGTATAGTGTTCCCGCCACTATACTGGGACATTAAGACCCACACAGACCAGAGGGTGGGTGCCCCCCACTGGTCCCACTGACACCACTTCCAGCATCAACCATAGCCTCCCAGGAGGTCTCCCATCCAGGTACTGACCAGGCTCAACCCTGCTTAGCTTCAGTGGGTAGCCAGTTAAGAGCAGCAGGGTGATATGGCTGCTGTCTAGGACTATAGCTAACCAAAATAGTTCAAGTAGGTAGCTGCATCAGCATGCATAGGCTGCAAAGGAACAGGTAACAGGTTCAGGTGAAGAAGGCTTCACAGCTGAAATGTTGTGTTTCCTTTCTTTTCTTTTCAGCATGGAATAAACCCATTACCTGTTCCTTATAACCAAACTAGAGCATTGCTTGCAGTAGTCTTTGAAAACAGAGGTTTCTGTTTCTTTCTCATATTTCTTTAATTTCTGCACCTTGATTTGGTCTAACTGCAACCCATCTGCCCATTTTAAACTTTCCATATAGTAGATGGTGAATTTCTCTTTATTGGTGGCTTTTGCCCAACAGAAAAGTACCATCAGCTGGTACAGTACTTTTAGTATTTGTCCAAGTTGCAATTGACTGTTGTGTTAAAATTTGAATTGAATCTGTGCCTGTGTTTGTAAAGGAAATATTAGTTTTGAGAAGAATTGAGCCTTACCATCTACTTCTCAGTCTCCTACATTTTCTCACATTCAGTATCTTCTTCTGCAGAACCCAGACTCGCTGGACTCTTCCATTCAGGGTGCCCTTTCGGCACTCTACCCGCCATTTGAGGCCACTGCACCCACCGTCCTCAGCCAGCTGTTCCGGGTCATTGAGGAGCGTTACCAAGGCGACGCGCTGCAGTGTCTCCTGGACTTCCTCATCCCTGCCAAGCACATCTTGGAAAGTGTACAGCAGGCAGCCTGTGTGAGTGTCTTACAAAACAGAAAAACAATTCATACTATATCAGTTGCTCCACCATATGTGTTTTATTTGTCAACAAGGCAAGCTTTTTAGGGGGGGATGTTGGCATTTGAGGAAGATAGAAGATAGATGAAGATACAAGATAGATGAGAGAAGATGAGATGTTAATGTCAGATATATTAATGTCACATAGCTTTAGTTCACCCTAACCCAGTTTGTCCCAGAGCCAGTGTGGACTCCATCTTCTGACTTTACAACCTGTAAAGATGGGAGGGGTGAGGGATGTGAAAACGAAACGCAAAAGGAGTGGGATATTTATACGAAGGTGGGTGGAAGTGGCCGAGATTAGGGTTTGACCTCCTCCTGAATTTTTGTGTTCAACTCCATTTGTTTGTTTGTTCTGCCTCTCAGCGGTTTGAGTTTGGTTCTGTACTTGGGCTGAACTTTCATGGTCTCCTCTCTTTCTCTGGCTGCATTAGTTTCTTCCCATCTAACACAGCTATGCTGACTTGCAAACTCTCAGTTGTCCGTGTGTGCATATGCATTCTTTCCAACCAGGGTGGAGTCCCACCTTGCACTGTGTGCTTCCAAAATGGACCTGATTCTCATGACCTTTACCAAGAATAAGTAGCTTTCTGATATGGATGGATGGGTCGAAGGTTTACAGAGTTTTCCGACAATCTTTTACTAATTACCCACTGAGAGCAATCTCCCATTAATTAAATGCATGGCAATGGCAAAACTAGAATTTTTTGAACAACCAAATAGTTGAAAAGTTGTCTGCTGTTATGAACCGTTAAGTACGACAAAAATAAAATTGTTTAGAAGCTAATCAATTATTGAGCTCAACTCTACATTCATTTCTCTGAAAGATATATTACCTAGACAGGAATACAACAGCACTGGGGAAACATGACTTTGTTTCTTTGTGTTTTTGAAACTGGCAGCTTCAAAGTTAAAAAAAGCCTAGTTTATCTGTCATAAACATGGATGTTCCATCTTGTGAAAAAATGCTAATCACAGCCTAGGGGTGCTCTGCTGATTCAGGGTTAGGTAATGGGCTTTCTCAAGCATTTACCAAGTGTGTACACATATAAATAATATAAATTCACACTTGAGAAAAAGGTAAAAAGATCAGTTACTCACATTAATGTGATTTGATACCACACAAGAACAAAAGAATTTTATTGTCAACCAACTTAAAGAAAGTCTCTTTTATGTAGCCAGAGAATCAGCCTATTGTTTTGGGGATGGAAGATCCCAGTGGTTTTAGTGTTAAGAGACCCTGTAGCTCAGAGCCAGACAAGAGAGCTGGGGAGGCTTGTCAGTGTTCCAGAGGATTATATTGTTTTGTCAGCGGGATATGTCAATAGATGATGCAATGTTCCACAGATTCCCTTCTCAGGAAGATGGAAAAGCTGTCTTGTCCTGTGTGGCCTTGGTAGCTGCTGTAGCCCTTTAACAGCCCCTTATTCTTACATAGTTGGATATTAACAAGAAAAAACTGGATACCTTCTTTAGGAGTATCATCTTTCCAGCCCAAATCCTAATTCGTGAAATACTTTTAATCCTGGTTTTGTAGAAATTATGCTTTTCTTTTTGTCTGTGCGCTGTACATGAGTTTTTTTCCCTCTGTCTAGATTAAGCTGCCTCTTCTTTACATTCTTTTGCTTAACCAGATTCTTCCTCGTTTAGTGGGTATTAGCTTCTAAAGAAAGGAGAGTTCCAGGCAGGGCTGTACCCCCAGCTAATCCAGCACTGCATCTGGATATACATGGAGGGTCACACTTCTTATCTTAAGCTTCTTTTAAAGGTGATTTATGAGTTAAAACAAATTCTGCAGCTGTCTGTAATAGATACCAAATGGGTGAGTTTCTGTTGGAGTTTGGATCAGTGGCTACTTCTGATTCCTCTGAACCTGCCTTGCACCATTAATTTACAATAATCCAAAAGGTTGTTTTTCTCAGGCAGACTCATCTGTGGAGAGAATGCTGTTATGCTGTTATCTGGATGTTTGGTTTTGTTCCTTTTGTGGTGTATTGACACGCACATCGTAAGGTTGCCAGAGTAGGTGTTAGGTTACGTCTGGATATGTTTTGAGGGAAAGGGCAGAAATAGGAATAACGTTTCTTTGCTGACGATGGCCTGTGAGCAGAAATAAACTGTAATGTTTGGCCCTGCCCGCAGGCTGTGTTCTCTGACGTGCTGTTTCGCTGCGAGGGCTGGCCGCTCTGCCTGCGAGAGAGGGTGGTGGTCCAGCTTGCCCCTCTCAACCCCTTCCTCCTGCGCCCGGGGGACTTCTACCTCCAGGTGGAGCCCTTTGGAGACCAGGCTGCGCGCATCGTCCTCAAGAGCCTGCTGGAGGACTTCCGGGAGGTGGAGGAGACCCCTGTCCCCGAGACCTCCTACCCCAGCATCTTCACCGAGGAGTGGCTGCGGGAGGTCAACCAGGGCCACCATGGAACCCCACTGCGCACCTGCCTGCTGTCCACGGATCAGGGAATAGTCAAAGTACCGTGGGAGCAGGTGGCGAATCCTGAGTTTGTGGATAAGCCCAAAGCCATGGCTAGCTCGCCCATCAGTCCGGGGCCTCCTCCTCCAAGCGCACCTCCCTCCTCCTTTTCCGTAGAAACCCGGATTCTCCCTGCCAAGGACGGCATTGCTGTATCCCTGCATCTGATTGACAGCAGCTGCACCAGGCTCATCAAGGTGGACCAGTCCAAGCCACCCAGCAAGCCCATCGGCTGGGTGTCTCCGAACACCTGGGACAGCCGCAACCCAGAGCTGGAAGGGGACTATGTAGACCTGGTGGAGTTCACCAAGGAGAAAACCAGCAGGACCCCTCAAAGGACCAAACCAGACCCCTCTTCTTTGGAGGCACCAAGGCCTCCTCCCCCAGCTAATGTGAATCTCATGCCCTGTGGACGGACTCTCAGGTTTGCCGAGGAGCCCTGCACCCCGTGCTTGAGGAGGAAACTAGGACGGGAGTCCGAACTCCAGGAGCTGAGGTGCAGGTACCGGGAGTCCTATCTGGCAGCACTTCAGAATCCCGTCAGCTTTGAACAAGGGGGATTCGCAGAGATTTTGGAAGAGGCTGCTAGGGGGCTGGACTCTGTCTGTCAGAGAGTGTCACCATCCCAGACCCCTCAGTGCTGCCATGAGGAGCATCTGTACCAGGTTGCCAAAGATGTCAGCGGTTCATCCATGATCTGCAGGGAGGTGGGTGAGGTGAAAACTAAGCACTGTTGTACAGCACAGCACTCTGGGACAGACAGTAGCAAGAATAAAGGGAAGCCAGTACCCCCTCCCCCTGCACCAGAGCTCCTGGGCAAATGTTCTGTAGGCCAAAGGGCGGGTGCAGCTGGAAGCCCTGGCGTTTATACAGAAATGACACCGAGTGTCCAGGTAGTGCACTGTAAGAAGACAACAGCATTTGGATTGCTATCCCCAAAAGTGGAGAGACGAAAATCAGGTAAAAAAGGTAAGACCTATAGTGATGGACTGTACTGACATGACTCTGAATCGATATGGTCTGATCTAGTGCTTTTTTTTCTTGTGTTCTGCTTAGTATTTTTTTTGCATTATCACAAATCTCCCCAGTGCAAGTTTATCAGGTTCCGACTCCTGCAAGCATGTAAAATCAATGGGCTTTAAGCAGAAACATTATGGGTCAAAATTGTTTGGCAAATCCATGAGAGATACTGAAAAAGAGTGCAGACTGAGATAGCATCGTTTCTGTTTGACCATTCTGAGGGGGCCTGAGGCCTGACGTTCTGTGTTGACATCTGTTCAGGAATCACTCTGCTATCAGTTCATTATGCTGGAGGCCAAATGACAATAAAACTTGCCTTTCAAAGAGAGATGATTTAGGCACAGCCTTTGATTGCTGCTGTGAAAAGACTTCTCTGTAATACAGACCCACTAACCACTGACCTCCAGCTAATACGAGGGCATTCAAGTTAACCGAGCGGACCTAGCAGAGTCAGAAATAGCGATTGCTGAAAGATCTGTCCTAGCAGAGGCTGAGGAACTGCAGCATTCCTGTCCCGGAGTGACGTGGCTGTCAGTGAGGGGGAAAGGGCAGGGTCAAACAGTTCTGAATTGCACCAGGAATTCTAAAGATGGATGCAGACCCATATTAAATGGATAAAGGAAAAAAGAGAGACTGTGTGCTGGCAGTAAGCGAATTCAGGAGTTAAAACAAGTCAGGTCTTAAAGAGCAGCAGACATATGTTAGCCTATAAACCAAAGAGGAGCAAAAGGAGAGCAACTTTAGCAAAGACAACATTTGCATTTGATCAACCTAAAAGTGTTCACCATAAAGTTCAAAGCAAGAATTGTGCACTTTCTTTTCTCACCACTATTTAAAATTAAAAAGTGTTAGGACAAATGTGGAGCTGTTACACAGATGCATCAATGAACAGAATGAGACATGTAATTTGTCAGAATTTAAAATATTTTTTAATTATATAAATCATGTTTATATAATTGAAATGGTATAATTTGTTATAATTGATTGCATCTCTGGATGGTTCTACCAGTGATATTTAGTAAGCCTGCTGAGGTCCTGAACATCAGCATATACAGTACATACACTGAAGAGTTTCTTGTTGAGTGAGATTCACAATTCTAGAGGTTTCAGCCTGGGTGATAAAGCCATTCATTATTGTGACACAATGTGTTGCCATGTATCACACATATGTCACAAGAGAAGGGGAGTCTGTTGTGAAACAAGTGTGAAATAAACCCAGTGGTGACTATTTCAGCTCGCCACATCTCCTGCTGTCCATCTATGGAATTACGGGTCAGTGTCTTGATCATTACTCGTAACAAAATAATAGTGAATCTATTGTCCATTGCTCTGAATAATCCAAAGATTTTAAAAAATACAAACAGTAATAAAAATGTAATCATAATTTAATTCATAGTAGCTGTCTTTCATAACATGATCTTTTAAGATATGTAGATACAGTACATATCAATTTTTATGGTAATTGTTCCTCTTACTGTTGTTCATCTACACTTGGCTTCGATCAGTGTCTGACTTTATGACATCAGTGTCTGGATGTCAAGAGAGATTTACTAACAGTGTGGACACTGGGGTGCAAAACTAATGGCGATACTCTTCAGTCTCCCCTCAGGATGCCAGCCAAACCTGCAAAGCTGAAACAGAGGGACCTGCCCTCCTAGATAATGGCCCTGAGAAAGCAGCCCATTCCTCCCCAGCTGAAAAGCACGTGAGACCACTGCCCCAACCAGGATCCTCCAGAGCCAGCAGCCTGATGCTACCATCTGCACAGTTCAGCAGCCACCTTCTGCACCTGGGAATCGCCTGTCTACCAGGTACAGGGTACAGTGGCCACTGGGGAGAACGAGGGTGTGGGCTAAGGGGCACAGGAGCAGCACAGCTATCTTTACAGATGTCACTGCTGGCAACAAATTGTCCCACATCAAAGGGCAAGAGCTGGCCCAGGACACTTGTGCTACACATTTCTGTGCCAGAGTCCTGTACCCAGCATCTGGATCAATGCCCTTTGTTTATACCAGCCTGTATAATTTGCACACAGCAGCAGATGCAGAAGGGTGTAGTATTCTTAAAAGCAAATTCTGTCATCATGTCCTCTTTAGGTGTTTTACTGTATAATTTGTAAGGCACTCTCTTCCTTTATTTTTTTCTGAATATCGCCATTAAAACATTTAAGCCATTCTGTCCCAGACTTAGCCCTCACTGGACAATAGTGTAAGTCTTGGACAGTGTAGCCTAAATGGTTTAATGGATATCCAATTGTTTGAGAGATTAATTTTCTTTTGGACCTTTGTCTTTGGAGCCCTACTATCTTTTCCCGTTGGAGAAGTCACTTTCTGATTTAGGATCATGTTGAGGGCTCCCAAGTCTCTTGAGTAAGTTGACTTGCGATGAAAGATGGTTGCGAAAAGATCTGAATGGCCTGCTCTTGTGTGAGACCTTTCTAAGTGAGCTCGTTCCTCCTTTCCCCACTGCAGGCAGCAGAGACAGGACTGGCAGGGCTGTGTTGGAGGTCTTTGCAGATCATAACGGCTGGAAGTCCCCGCTGGTCTCCAGCCAGGAGCTCTGCAAGCTGCTTCTCTACTTCCACTCCATCCCCAGGTGAGAGTCTGACAGGGAGGGCCCCTGCTTCCATACACTGGCCAAAATATTAGGAACCCCAGATTAAATGAGCAGTCTCTCTCAAGGTTGGTATTGTGTGCTTGGATTAAGGAGAATTAAGTGATCTCTCCACCAAATCTTCCGATCGCAGTCCTATTGAAGACTGGTGGAATGTGCAGTTCCCACCAATTCCCAGTGCCATCACAACCTCAACAGATGGTGATCTTGCCAGTGAAATGGAATGAGACTTGACAGCCAAATTTTTCAGAAACCTTTGGAATCCAGTTTCTGCTGTCCTTTTCCTTGCAGAAATCCAACATATGATTTGAGAGGAGCTTCTACTATCATGGCCAGCAAATGTATGTTTACCGATGTGATGAGGCACAGGAAGAATTGCAGTTTTCATCTTTTCGTCGTCAGTGGAAGGGATAGTCAACACAAAGACAGGGATTATCGCCCTCTTTCTCATTCTCTGCACAGTATCCAGCAGTCTGAAGCTTTGTCGGCACACAGCTTGATCTACGATAAAAACCCAGAGGCGCCAACATAAATGTGAAATCTAATCCTACAAATCATGCCCATAAATAAAAGCACAATTTAGTCTTCTTACAATATCATTAAACATGATCGGGCACATGGGGAGAAAATCCACCTTAACTAATTACTCAAAATGTTGTTTCTTTGGTTTGAGCTTCCAAAAGAGTCCATTGTTTTCCTGCTCAGGTTTCTAAAATATTCACAAATGGTTTATGACTGGTTTGAGTCTTGGCCTGTTCCCAGTGTAAACACTGAGCTGTTCAAACAAGGGGAGAAGGGAGGACATGTTAAACCTGCAAACAAACATATGAAACTGTTGAATGGAGCCTATAGGAAAAACTCGTCTTACATCGCAGCAGAACTCCTGGGGAGACGTTGTTCTGTTTGCCAATTGACAGTGTTTTAAAAAGGACAGTCAAAGAATCAGTCTGATGCGGAACTGACATCTAGTCACTGAACTGCAGTTGCCCACGGATTCTTACAAGAGCCAACATGTCACTCACACACTTTGCATGATTGCTGTGCATGTAGATGACAGTAAAAAAACATCGCAGCATTTTTCCTGTCATATGCTGTAGTCAAATCTGTACTCCACAAGGGGGCAGAATGGTATCATGCCAGAATGAGTCAAGCGTTCTCTACATAATACTGTACCCTTTTTTTTGTTGTAGTTGCAGATTAATTCCCCCAAGGGGGCAGCAGAATATTAGCGCAGCCTTCAGAAAAGTGTAGTCCCATAAATGAAGTGCTGCTAAATGCTATTTATTGTCTGGATTCATAGTCCAGATATCAAACTAAATAAATTAAAGAATATCTGTATATATTATTTTAGGGTATATTATTGTTGAAATATATTTTTGTTAGCGTTCTGGATGAATCAATAACTTGCTTGAATAATACGTTTGATTAATTCCAGACTATGGGGGATCAAGCTTCCTGCACCGTTTATCTGAAACAGACATTTATAAAGACAACTATACAAAGCTCATTCTCAGTTATACTTCTGTGTTTATTGGACAGTCAATCTTTGCAGCAAGTGTCACAGGTCTCTTGAGTTTCAGATATACTGTACGATATCAGCACCTTGTGTTTGTTGTGTCTGAAGTGAGCTACAGCCGTACCACCTTATACCCTGATCTTGTTAAGCAAGCTTTCCAATGCTTATCCTAGATCAGGGACTAGATTCTTCTGAGGAAAATCAGGTTGCTACTCAAAGTGTTCGTGTTGGACCAGTAGGTGGTACTCTTCCCTATCATAAAATATTCAACATAATTTGTGTTTGTGGCTAAGTACCAGGTCAAGCTGTCGAAGCTGATTTTCTGGTTTCTTTAGAAAACAACTGAATAGGATCCTCACATACTGTATAACCATGCTGCCTTCCTGGACCTGAATTTGGTTATTGGACATCCCATGGCATTATAAGAGTAGGATGTGTTAACCTCACTGTACTGCAAAAATTCCACTCTGAGCTCGAACAAGCTGGCTCCTCTAAAGACCCCCCTTAATTCAATTGTTGAAGCTGTTTCTCACTTTAGTTGGGCTACTGGTACAAGTGGGGGCTGCTCTTCTGTGGTGGGTGAAGTAAGTCCAATCATATATGTAAAGTGCATTAGGATGAAAAACAAACATTTCTTAGAAGTTAAGAAGACCCTTAACTGACACTTCCTGGAAAGAATACAAGTTTAATACATTTAAGAAATGTGACAATGTGTAAAGTGTGTCTATTTGAGTCAGGTGCATTATGTCTACTAAGCTATACTCTGTTTTGGCACATCAAAACCTGGCCTCAGATATCCTGTGCACTATGCCCTGTATTTACACAGCTTTAATGACAGTCCTCTTAAGTTCAAGGTGGCATGCTTGTAAAAATATATATACCCCCTCCGTCTCCGGTAGGGGGTTGTTTAGTAAAATATAAGCATTGTATTGCAAATTCCAATGAAATGGAACAGTTGTGTTGTCTAAGTAAGCAAGCTTTTCAAAAAACAGATTGGGTTTATTTTTCAGGGTTTTTGGAAGATGTCTTCTAGCAGTGTGGAAGCTCAGGGAGGGAAATTAACTAAAGAGAAATGTATGATGTGAATGTTAGTATAAGGGAGTGGCTTTGCTGCTTTGATGGGGTTGTTTTGGATACTTCTATGGTTATAAGGGTGATAGCTGAATTGGTACAGTGCAATACAAAATGCAGCCACAGACTTCAAAGTGTCTTGTGGGGAAGCAATTATTTTGCACAGCGCCCTACCTCAGTCTGAAAACAAAACAAATTATTCAGTGCACATCACTTAGGAGCCACAGATATGACAAATATGACAAGAATCACAGTGAGCATCAGACTATTTAGCAGCTGCTTTTACAGATCTGTGTTGAAACTGGAGAACATACCAGCAGAACAAAGCGAAGACTTAAACAAAGTAACTAAAAATGACAAAGAAGCACAGCAAAGTCATCAAAAAGCTCATTTGAAATCTTTTCAGCAGAGCTAACTATGGTCGAGATCTCTGCAGATGCCTCTGCCAGCAGATTAAGCTACAGTACCAAAGGGGCTGTGTAGTAATCTGAGTTATGGTCAATGCAGTCGGTGTTGGTCACACCTCACAGGAGACCTGTGAAACAAGGAATGGAACAGAGGCAGGACCTCCGGTGACAAACTGTAGACAAACCAGCGCCTGGTGATGCACAGGTCTGCCAATCTCTCTACATCAAGAGAGCAGGGCGGTTCATCAGGACAACTGTGGGCACCACTGCCCGCAGGTGGAGAGCACTCCATCCACAGGGGCTGACGGGTGGTCAGGATTCTGGACCTGCCCTGTCCTGCAGGGTTAACCAGGCTTTCTTCCGAAGGCATGAATTACACAACATTTTGTTGTCCTGCCACAAGACTTGTACAGGAGCAGCACACTTAAAGGCAGCCAAGCTGCTAAGCTCCTTTTCCTCTGAATTATATAATGATATGAGTTCTGGAGAAAACAAGGACAACTCTAGTCCTCTAGTAGTAAGTTGTTTCTTCATTTCTTCCTGCAATGTGAAGAGTTTTTTAAAGAGATATTTGTATTGTACTTCACATTGTAGGAAGAAATGATGAAACAACTTACCACTAGTGGACTAGAGGCATCCTTGTTTTCCCCAGAACTCATTTCATTATATAGTTCAGAAGAAAAGGATTATAGCAGCTTGTCTGCCTTTATGTGTGCTTCCCCTATACAAGTCTTGTGACAGGTCAATAAAATGTTGCGTAATTCATAAACCCAACATGCATTGTAAAAGGGCAAAAATAGCACAGAATATCAAAGAGCTGCCCCTCTCACATGAATGACAGATCTCTGAAGGAGTGTGATGTTAATTATCTGGTTCCAGAAGAGTTTGCGTGTTGTGTTAGGCAGAACATCTTTTTTCATCATGTTCTCCTGGATTCCGGCCCATTTTTCCAGTTATTCTTCATGCATATACAATTATATGTCATTTGCATAGTTTAACAGTGATGCTAATCTGTTAAAGCCATAACCCTCTGCAACTCACAACTGGCAACCCACTGAACCTAAGCAGGTGTGAGCCTGAGGTGTTAGTGGGGCCAGCAGGGGGCGCTCACCCTGCGGTCCATGTGGGTCCTAATGCCCCAGTATAGTGATGGGGACACTATACTGTAAACAGGCACCGTCCTTTGGATGAGACGTAAAACCGAGGTCCTGACTCTCTGTGGTCATTTAAAATCCCAGGGTGCTTC